AAGTAACATGTCATGTTTCAGTACATGTATATAACAGCTTTTGGAGATAAAGTTCCTACACCGTACAATTTATTCCATTTAAAATGTATAGTTCAGTGGTTTTCAGGGTATTCACAGAATGTGTAACCATCTTGACAGTCAAGTTTAGATTGTTTTTTATTTCCCCAGAAAGAAATTCCTTGTTCATTAGCAGTTGCTCCGCCTCCCCGACCCAACTCTCACCACCCTAGGTAACCACTACATCTACTTTCTCTCTATATAGATTTGCCTAGTTGGGATAATTCCTGTAAATAGAATCATATAGTCTGTGGGACTGTGTGTTTCTTATAGTTTTGTTGGCAGGGAATACCTGAGAAATTCAAGTGAGTAGGTGGCTGGCTGAATATTTTAGGAGGTTGTTATCTGCCTGGGTTAGTTTTAAAGTAGAGATGGTTTAGGGGCTGGGGATTTAGCTCAGCGGCAAAAAGCGCCTGCCTGGCAAGCGCAAAGTCATGAGTTCGGTTCCCGGTACCGGAGAAAAACCAAGAAAAAAAAAAAAAAAAAGTAGAGATGGTTTAGTAGGTTCCTGGGATAGAGCCAGTCAACAAAGACATTTAAAATCAGGCCATCTTTCCGAGAAGAGCACTGTGTAAAGCGAAACTACTCCTAAACTCCTTTAACTGCTGAAGGGCTGCAAAGTCTCTGAGCAGCATGCTGAGTGATCATCTCGAAGTCAACACTATTTCAGTCAAAATACATTTCTGGCAGAAACAGTTATTTTACAAAGTTGACCGTATTTTATTGCAGGAAATACTTTCAGTAATATTTTTTCAGTTGAGCTCATTCCCCTGTATCCTATGCTGTGCCTCAAAACAGAATGCTTTCCTGAGCTCTTGCCGGTTTGGGTTCCCCTTTACCTTCTACATATCTTATCTGTTACACCACATCTTGAAATGTGTAGTCATTTTCCTGTGATCAGAGCAGAAGGTATCTCTCACACGATCATTTGGTTCTCATTGCCAAAGGGATTAATGTGTCATGCTTCCTTAAAGCCTGTTGTGCCCCAGAAATTACCCCATTTTCAGACTATGAAGGAATTATCAAATATGAGGGACCAAGGATTATGTGAAGGCTATGACTTTAACCTCAGCATGTCATAATTAGAAGACTTTTCTAATAAGAAACAAAAACTACAAAAAAATTGTATACATTTATTGTCATAGTCTTAACCGCCATGTATGATTTTCTTGACTGCTGGATGACTAAGTTGGGAACTGCCTTTGTCCTCCAGGGCTTTATAAACTCATAGGCAGCAACTGTATCTTAGAAAGTAAAACTTAAACAACGGTCCAAGGACCATTTGGCAGCAGTCTGTGGAGCAAGCCAACAGGAAGACAAACAATTGCTAACAACTGAGTTTATGGGAAACAAGGAAACTGTCCTTTGCTGTTGGCAGCCTTTTAATGAAAGAATAGGAAAACATAAAGTCCCATGGTAGAATTTAAAACTTAGCCTTATAGAAAAAAGAGAAGTGGTTTTTTGTTGTTGTTTTTTGAGATAGGGTCTTGCTATGTAGTTCAGGCTGGCCTTGAACTCGTGGCAATTCTTCTGCCTCAGCCTCCTCCTGAGTGCTGGGAGTATAGGTGTGCACTACCATAACTGGCTGAAAAACAAATCTTAACCAAAGAATTCCTTTGGTTGAAGAAAAAATGGACAGGGGCTGGGGATTTGGCTCAGCAGCACAGCGCCTGCCTGGCAAGCACGAGGTTGTGAGTTCAATTCCCAGTACCGGAAAAAAAAAATTAAAAAATGGACAAAAGCCTCTGAGAGTATGTATTGGCTTATGTGTCTAAAAAGTCTGCTGGGTAAAATGCAGTTGGATCAGCTAGCTATGTTGGTGCATGTCTATAATCTCAGCACTCTGAGAGGCTGAGTCAGGAAGATCACAAAGTCAAGCCCAGCCTGAGCAGCTTAGTGGCCACCCTGGGCAGCTTAATCACACTAGACTTGTCTCACAAATTTTAAAAAAATGCAGTTGGGTTGCTTTGGCAGCTCAAAGAATGTCATCAGGCCGCTTCCTTTTTCTGCCTTGCTCTTTTGTCCTGACTCTTAGGTGTTGGTGTCATTCCTGGATAGGCTTTCCCCACATGGTGGGCGCTGGTAGCTCCGGATTAATAACTTCAAACAGGATGTAAAAAACAACAAAAACAAAACAAAACAAAACCTGTCTTTCCCGGTGTTCCAAAATGATTCCAGAATCAAGTGTCATTGCTCATTCCTGAATCAGTCATTGTGAGGAGAGAGTGTTGTCAGCCCCACACGGACTGAGAGCGGGGAGCTGGCTCTCCTGCAGGGGCACCGGGGCGTTGTGGCAGGAGAGAGATGCAGTCTGAGCACAGCCACACACCTGTCCACCGCAGCGGGGATATCAGGAGCTCGCTTGGTCAGGGTAATATGATCATAGAAGTAAACAACTTTTCTGCTAAATACTAAGAAAACAGGAATAAACAACAGTAGGAGGGGTTTTAGTAATAAATAGATTTGGGGAAGTTAGACATAGATCTAACTTTTATATAGCAGACCCCATTTTTCCCACTGTTTTCAGTAACAAAGAACACCTGTATTCCTAAAAGCAAACAAATTCCTGAAAGCTACAACAAAAGCTGTGGCTCTGTGATATATACCAGACCTTGCAATACATCAGTGATACACACCTGGGGGAATTGCAGTTAGCACCTACCAAGTCACTTTTCTTTTGGGCTCTTAGAACTTGGAAGGTGTTTCCTTTCACTCCCTTAATAAACAGTTCCTTTACTTTTTTTTTTTTTAGATAGGATTTCTCTAAGTTGCCCAGGCTAGGGTCAAACTTGTAAGCTTCCTGCTTCAGCCTCCCAGAGTCTAAAATTATAGACATGTACTATCACACCTTGCTTCATTTACCTTTTTCTTAAGCCACAGACTTTTTTCCTACAGTAGAATGTTTTCTAACTCCACCTTGACTCTCCAAGGACCTCCCTATCACTTTACACAATAGAGCAAACTACCATGACAGTGTCACATTTTGCCAAGAGGGAACTGTGTAATTCAAGTTTTGCCACAGCCTGAAACTCAAGAGCAAACTTCTCCTCCTGTAAAATTAGAGCCTCCATGGGAGGCAGCATGGGTTAGGGCTCCATGCAGAGACTTCTCCGGAAACAAAGAAAAGGTGGGGGTGGGGAGGGCAGGCAAGAGGATGGGCAGACAGGTGCGGCCTCAGCGGGTACACTGCCTCCACGGCTCACCAGAGGTGCGGGAGTGGAAAGACAGTGCACTTAATTTATAAGAGGATGGAATCAGATTCTGCACCATAGAAAACAGTGCATAGATGTTGCCTGCAAGGTTGTCTGCTTAGACAGGAAAATGATAAACTCAGATGAAAAATAATCACAGATTTCTCAGCATTTCTTCTTATTCCATCCCCCTCCTCTTCCTGAATTCCTGAAGTTTACATCAAGACTGCATTTTTGAGCCTTCTTTAGTCATTCATGGAATCGTTTAACAGTCATTGACCACCTGCTAAGTGCTGGCACTGTTCTAGGCATTGGGGATACAGCAGGAAACAAAATCCTTGGTGTCGAGCAGTTGACATTCCACGGAGGAGAGCAGACAGTAGATAAGGAAATACGTGACCTTCAGTTAATATGCGCTAAGAAGAAAATGAAGCCAGTGGGAGGGATAAAGAGTGGCAGGAGAAAGGAAACTGCCGCTTTATATTTTACAAATATTGTGAGGAGAAGTTTGGGAGCAAGTTGCAAGGCTTCCTGGAAAAGGATCCGCTGAAGCGGATGGAAGCAGGGAGTGGTGCAGAGACGCCAAGCCCGGACAGCGAGGTCTCCTGGAAGAAAAGCGAGGTGGCCGGAAGGCCGAGGACAGTGAGGGCTTGAGAATGTGGTCAGAGAGGGGTCAGGCAGAGACGGAGGCAATGTGGGGCGGGGCTACTCCCACCTAAGGGAGAAGGAAACCCTTGAGGGCTTTGGACAGAAGAATGAAGGGGCCTGGCTTAGGTTTTAACCCTAATTGTTTTGAGCTGCAATGAGGGAAAAGGGGAAGAAGCAGTGAGACCAGTTAGGGGATTATTGAGAAAATCCTGACTAGGCGCCAGGGACCGGAGGTGCTGAGAAGCATTCTCATCCTCGATATATTTTGAAAGCCCTATTTCTTTCTTTAGTTTTTTTTCTTTTTTTCACTGTCTCTAGAAGGATATAAGTTTGTTCCCTTGAATAGTGGAATTTGTATAGAATTTATAGAATTGGGAGACCAGAGACTTGTTCTGGTCCTGTCTGAGGTCAAGTCTCCCCTCATCCCACCCCAGATGACGGCTCAGATCTAATAACACTGTCGTGGGTCGCGTATGAAGAAGGGCCTGGCATCCATGGCAGAAGGGTTCTAGGAAGGAGGCCTCAGGGGCAGGATCTTCCCTGTTTTTATTGATCTGGAAACTCAGCCATACACTTCGGTCTAATCGTCATGCCCAAAATGCTCTGAAAATGTTTGCTGCTTATTCTCATCATTGATAGTTTATCGCGAATAATGCCAATGGAGAGGAGAACAAAGCAAGCAAAGGCAGGAAGCACTACTGTGCTTCAGGCTTATACAGTGGCTGGGACGGTGTAGGCTTCAAACCTCACTGTCTTAGAATCAGAATCCCTAGTAGTTGCCGCCTGCTGCCAGATGAATCTCTGCCATGATATGTAATCATCTAGCTTCCACCATAAGCATCCACAACCCATAGGTCATAGAATGTCAGTGCAGCAAGAGAGCTTTGAGGTTGGGCTGGGACTAGGCGAATCCAGGAGTCTGAACTCCCAGGCCCATCTTCTTTCCCCTCAATATATTGTCTCTTCTAATAAAGGGCTGCCCCTGCTGGTAGAATTACACCTGGAGTTAGATGTCTCTGTGTTCATCTCATCACAGAATATCTGGGTTTGTTTGCCTTTCACACAGTAATAAATTCTTTTTTTTTGTTTGTTTTTGAACCCTAGGAATCGCCCTACTCTCAGATGTCTACCCTGAGAAAATCTTGGTTGACCTGTTGGCTCAATATGACAGCGGCAAAGGCAGACACACACCTGAGACCAGAATGAAAGTGGGAGAAGTCCTGATGCGAATAGTCAGGGCGTTAGGTGAGTTTTCTTGTTTCATCCCTCTGGAACAGGGTGGAGAAGTATGGCTTTGAAACCAACATCTGTGTACTGAAAGGCTTGTTACGGTAGCGGGTGAGGGCAGATCAGGGGTTGAGATGAACTAGCCCCTGTTTGGGGATTTAGCACATGTCCTGCAAACATGCCCACTACGAGAATGTCAGCAGTAGTATCCTCTTCGCTACAGCTGCCTAGTCTCCTCCTCATGGAGCTCTGCTGGGCTCCGTTCTCAGTGGAATGAGAAATAGAAGTTTCACACTTTTTGAGCAGCAATAAACATAAAAAGAAGAGGGATGTCCAGCAGGGAAGGAAGAGTACAAACTCTCATTAAATGTGTACTGTGTGCCAAGTTGGCAGGCTCATCTAATTTTCCCAACAAATCCTATAAAGAAGCTGCTACTAGGCCCATGTGATAGATAAAGAAACTGTGGCTCAGACACCTTCAGCAGTTTGTCCAAGACTCATTCAGCTGGCATGCGATGGTGCCAAGAATTGAACTACAAAACAGAAGAGGAGGCCGGGCATGGTGGTGCATGCCTTGATCCCAGCACTCGGGAGGTTGGGAAGAGCGAGGCAGTAGGGTAACCGTGAATTTGAGGCCAACCCGGCTTACATAATGAGTTCAAGGCCAGCCTGAACTATATAGTGAGATCCTGTCTCATACAAAAGCAGCAGCTTCAGCAGCAGGAACTTACAAGAAGTTGCTCTAAGCCAGTGATGACAAACCAGTTAGAGACTGAGTGCCCAAACTGCAGCCCCAAAAACCACTTATTTATCGCGGTGTCAGCGCTGGAATTAAACCTAAATACTGACATTTTAGTTTGGTTTAGAAAAAACCAACTCTTACCTGATGCTCAGCTGCTGGGGTGACTTGGCTCACATGCTGACAGAGAGGGCGCTGCATGCCTGCTGTGGCCCACATGCCGTAGGCTCTACCTGCACTCCTCCACGCCTTACAAGCTGAATCTTAAGAGCATAAGCTGCCAGGGTTCAAATATTGAGCTGCTTCTTACTGGCTGTATGATCCTGAAAATGTTTCTTAACTTCTTGGTGGCTCAGTGTCCTCATATGTAAAATGAGGATATTAATAATGCCTACTCACAGGGTTTTTTGTTTGTTTGTACCGGGAATTGAACTCAGGACCTTGTGCTTGCCAGGAAGGCACTTGTGCCCCTGAAGTATATCCCCAGCCCTTGTAGGGTTTTTAACAAGCTAGGAAGTAGGAGAATAAAGTCAAAGAAAACAATTGTTCATTCTAAACACAAAGATTTTATATATA